ATGCCACTTTCTTCACTTTAATGTTGCGTGTCTTTTAGATGTGGGTGACATATAACCAATCCATAATGTCTGTTTGAATATTTGTCCTCTGAAAGATGATGAAAAGGAAAGGAGTGGAAGACCCAAGTCACATGAATCAACAAAGATGATTACAATTTTTTTGAAAGAATTGCTCAAACCAAGGTAATTGTTTATTGCTTTCTTAGAATTTAGCATGAATATGACAGGAAAATCTGCATAAAATCAGTTCACTCAATCCTTTGCAATAACATGTTTTCATGATGAATCACTTAGTTCCAAAAACCAGAAAAGTGAGGCAGCCTTACATTGTTCACCATATGCTTAGGAGATCAATAAATTCTTGTTGTAACTCATTTAATTCATGCTTAATATTACACTTATGTTGATAATTGTGAAGACATAGATATGATCAAGACATTTCTTCAAATTTGAGCATAACTAGTAAACCAAATGTAGTCTCATCGTCCCTTGTAAGTGAGTGATCATTTGCAACCCCTCTTTGAGCCATATGACATGAATCCATCAATTATGAACTAAAAAATGCATTAAGTAAACCACTTAGTGAATATTATTCTATATCTTTTAAATTCATAAAAAGTACATCTATGATAGATTCTACTTTTCTTGGATTAAACCTTGCAACTACTGTATCTTTTTCCATATCTTGAAGAGCATTCAAAGAGAAATGAGGTTTTGTTCAAGTTAGGGAGAAAAAGAGAAAGAAATCTTTTCTTCAAAAGAAAAGAAAAAATGGAAAGTTATAAGAATCAAAAGAAAGTGAAAGAAAAATAAAAATGAGAAAAATGAATATCAAAGATGAATGTGTTCAAAAAGAAAGAAACAAGAAAAAATTTGGATAAGAAATATGATACAAAGGAATAAAAAACCTATGAATGCACTTCAAGGAAAGAAAAACCAAACAATCACTTTGTTTCCATTAGCTATAGAAAAAACACTTGTTTTGTACCTTGGCCACATTACAACCTTAAAAAGACCTTAGTGATCTTTGTTTTTACTTATCAACATATTTAGCTTAGATAAATGTATGAATTAATCAAGATGTTAGAAAATTTATCACGTGAGAGATCAAAATACCTCATCATTTTTTCACTTATGCACAAAAGTGTGATAGGTGTGATTCATATTATACTTCCATATTCACCCTAGACAACAAATTTTGACTCTTTTTTTCTTCAAAATACACCGATGTAATAAACCACGTATTATAACTATATTATCATGATAATTGTTTTATAAATTAAACCATACATATCAAATAATATGAAAATGTCATATATAAATGAATCAATCCTAAATCCAGAGTAAAGTCAAAATAAGTTACAAACGATAATAGTATCCCTAGTACAACTAATATATGAATGCGTATGCGAGACCCTTATTTCTTTATTGCCTCCTGTACTGCAACCCCGTTCGTGCCTCCATAAAAATGGCATCTACAATGTCCATTCTAGGAGAAATACTTCTCTACTATACCCACTTGCGCAAGATCCTTAATATGACAACACACAAACAACACATTAACGACATAATCTGCTCTAGCATGCTCTTTCTACAATATCTTCTGATGAGTTGGCCTAGGTGGACCTCCCAGAGCATTAGGCGTCATATAAGGATGTGACAGTCTATAATACCACTGGACGTAGTTGTATGCACAACTCTAGTCGATAGAAGCTATAATACCACGTGCTTTATACGACACCAGATGATTAAGGAAATCATCATACATGACATCTACATCTCGACAGGCCATAGCGGGAAAAGCATAATCGGAGGGGTCTTTTAGAATAAACTGCATATATCTGAACTAACGCATGACTTGGTTAGGCAGATGTGGATACATCAGACGTGACCCACAAGCCAATCATATAGAGTAGAAGGCTATTTCATCCAAGGGATGCGTCTGATGGTGATTGTGGTATGGTTGGAAGTGTATATCATATACTATTGTGAGGTCATGATACAATCTGAAGGGATTAGTCATATGATTCTCTTTGAGCAGGACGAATGCACAAACACATGGCATATCCTCAACGTAGGTATCAATATATGACCAGTCAGATATACGTGGTAAATGCTAGAGGATCTATGCCTGAAAATGGTAAATATGAATTATTAGTAATAGTGTAGAACAAGTGTTATAAAATGGTACATAAACTATAAAGGATGCAAATATATTAATGCCAACAACGTACAACTAGTTGTCATCTGTTTGGTCTTCTATATACAACTTTTAGCTAACTTAGAGTACACATGGATCAAACAAACGGCCCCCAGTTGTACTCATGAATCTGCTCTAAGTCAACGAAGTATTTGAGGTAAACCACATCCATGTAATAAACACTCTTGTCAATAAATATGGATGTCTAAACCAAGTATAAAGGTATGCTCTTAATGCATATACTCTATGTTGCATAACCTTCTCATCATCACCATCGGCCTGCTCTGCCGTTGTTAACTGTTGTGCGTACAACCTCTTCAGGAATTCAAACTTAGCATGACACCTTCAAGTGTCTTATATCTCCTTCAGGGAATCCTATGGGTCAACTCCCAAATAGGTCACCATCATCTCTAGTTCATCGTCTCTGATAATCATGGAGTGGTCTAATAGTCCTCCCATGATCAGAAGATGCAACAGGCATGACACATCGTCTAATGTGATGGATATCTCACCATGTGGAAGATGAAAATATGATGTTTCATAGTGCCATCTTCAACGAGCGCTGATAGCATACCATGGTTAATAGTAGAATAATCAGTATTGTATAAATATTGCAACCTAGATAGTTGCATCACATTGTACAACCACTACTTTTGAGGTTGATGTTGCATTGCAATCTTCCGATCCTGGTTTATGCATTTTAAAGCATCACGGTCCTGCAGAAAAATAAATCATTGTTAGAAACTTCAAATATTATAACACATATGTTTCAAAGAATAAATACAGATGGATTTTTACCTCTCTAAGTCACACATACCTGACAAACTCCTCAAGAATGACATTAACCTGGGGTGCATCAACCTGGATGGGCAGGGATTCAAGGCTTCATGAGGTGACACCATCCTCCTCCGGGAAGACGAAGTCGGAGTTGTATGAATCTCAAAAGTTGACGCATCTGCATCAAATGAACTAGAACCAACTGATGGTTGTGAGAGTCGGGATTTTTTTCCTACAAATAGGTGTATGTTGCGACGCTCTATCGAGCCTCATTCTATCTTGGTTATCAACCATAATGCCTATAATTAAACTACATAAGCATTACACAGTAGGAAAAATCAAACCTATTTGAAACACAATGAAAATAAAGCCAAACAATTCAGACAGAACAAATACGAAAATGCATTTATGAATTTTTGGAAAATCATATTTTGAACAAATACGAAAGTGCATTTCTGTATTAATCTACAACTCAGAAAAATCGAAAAATGATAGAAATGCATGAAAATCCAACTTTCTTAAAACATATCGCTCATCTAAACTACCTATCAAACATATTGCTCAGTTAAATAACATATCTAAACTACCTATTACACAACCTAATGCTTAATTTCTACAAATGCATGCATCTAGGAATCAAATGTATAGAGAAATAAAAAACTTACCAAATGCGAGTTTGATGTTGAGTACTTTGATTGATTGGATGTTGAGAGTAGAAACTTGAAAGTGAGTTGAGAGTTTGAGATATTTTGAGAGAGTTTGAGAATTTAAGAGGGTTTGAGAGAGTAGGTTGGAAATGAAGAAAGAGAAGAAGAGTCTGACGCATTTTTTATTAAAAAAAACTGTTCGAAAATGCATCTCTGTAAATTATAAAGAGATGCATTATTGTATTATTTTTTGACATAGAATTAGGGTCTGGATCACTTACAAATAAATTGCATGTGAATGAAGTCCGTCAGAAATTTTATATATATATATATATATATATATATATATATATATATATATATATATATATATATATATATATATATATATATATATATAATTCAAAGGTAGTTTTGACTTTAGGGTAGGAAGAACAATTTCCTTACTTTTTTTAACCTTATTAATATAAAGATGGTAGGGTATCCGGTTATTTCATATTTTTCTACGGATCATAGGGTATATCCTATTGGTTATTTCATATTTTTCTTTCTTTCTACAATATGAAAATAACATGCATCATGCTAGGAATATTTTAATTTTGAAATGAAAATAAATTGCTTGCAACTTAAGGTAGATAAACAACTTGATTTAGAAATATTTGATAATTTAATGACATAGCTACACTCTTCCATATTTTCGTATAGAATACACCTTCCATCTATGAATTGAGCTCTATAGGTTTCATATACACACACAAATTAGCTAAGTTACTTATGAATATCCAGTGAATGCTAAGCTATTAAGTTCTAGGCTGTACAATTGAACTCCACTGATCAAAGTTGTAGAAATTGTACCCTTTGCTTAAATCTTTTTTAAGTCTCTGCTTCCGATCATCAACTTCTCTGCTTAGTTTTTGATTGAGGACAGCACAAAAGTCCATTCCTTTAATAAACATTACACACACTAAAAAAGAAAAGTATATAACTAGTGAAGTTGTTAAAGACAGACTTGGAAGCTCCCATGGATGATTGTACTTGTAAAGATCTATTTCTGCTATGAATGAAGCAAGAAGAGGAGATGAAGTCACTTTGTTTCTTAGATAGTGAACTATGAACTCCTCATCAGAATGGTGGAATCTAAAGAAGATTGATAGTAATAATTGACTTCTTCTGCATAATCAATCACCAAACAAGACATGACACATACAAAATATTCAGTGATAAGTTTAAATCTGCATAAACATTGTTGCCTCTTTAGATTCAAAATACATTGCTTCCAAATCCTATATCTCTCTCGATTAATGACCAAACACATCAACTTTTCATATAGTATTTTTGCTTATGCTTCATTCTAGATGAAGTATAAGATTTCATTTTTACATTCTTCGCATCTTCTCCAAACATAATTCGTCAAGCCAAGGCTGAAATTTTCCTTCTGCATTCTGAAAAAAGGGACAGACCAAAGAAAATCAATATAACTTCCATTACAAGCAACTAACAACCTTTGGAAAAAGATGTATACAAAAAAACTCACATTCACCAGTATTAGAAACAAAAACATTAAATGATGAATTATGAAACAATGCACCAAACAAAAATGTACAATAATAATCTAGGGAAATTTATGCTACTGCCACGAAAATAATCATAATTAAAAACAACTACACAGACAATTTCTAATACAAGATATTATGTTAACATGAATCTATTTACTTACTTGTATCCAGAAAAAGAATCCACGCAAGAGGAATAAAATACGATTTTCCTTGGACTCTGTGGCAATAGCTTTGGCAAAATCTGCACAATTAAGAAACAAATATTTGATAGAGGCCTGAAATCAGATTGAGCATAGAAAGAGTTGAGCGATAACGAGAATAGAAGTTGAAAAATCCAAAAGTAAAATCTACCAAAAAATGGAGAATACAAGAGAAAATATGGACCTACCAGGATGCGAGTCAAGATACGATTTGGTGACACCTCCATAGTGATATGACTCAATCGCCCCCCGCCGTGTTCCTAAATGACGTTCCTTTTTCCTCCGTTCATTTGCTTTAGCAAGAAGAGACTTATATTCTTCACAGTCATAAGGCCTATCAAGATATTCCATAAGTCTTTTCCGAAATTGAGAATGATGAAAAGAAGTCACTTGCATGTTGTCTTTGGGGTGCATTTCTTCTCCAAAACACTAAACACATATAATAAAGACGTGTTAAGAAAATAACTGTTTGGAATTATTTCTTAAAATAAAATAAGTTTTTGAATAATGTGTATGTTTTTGGACCGTTTGTAAAATATGACCATTACATATACATTGTGTGAAGTAAGTTGAAGACACTTACAGATGAATCATATGCCTTTGAAGATACAAAAGGGGTGTTTTCACAGTTTGGATATGATTCCAAAACAATTACATCTGAATCAGAGGAACTACTCTCATTCTCCACATTGGATGTGTTTTTGGTATTCTTATCGCAACCATACACAAAATCGCCATCAACACTAGTCCACCCAGAATTAAGGAATCGTTCATAATCTTCATCAACACATTGCACTTCAGGAGTATCTTGTTCAGAAACTAGTGAATTTTGCCCAACACAAAAACTTTTTCTTAGTAACCGATCATATTCATCAACATGAACCCCGTTGCTAACATAATCAGAAACAAATTGATTTGAAAAACAATTGTAGCCTTCTTCTATTTCCTCTTTGACAATGCTGTTGCCAAAGTTGATGTCAACATTTGAACCACCACTTTGATTACCAACAAAGTCATTTTCAACATCAGGATCATACGTAGCTAAAAAGGATATGTATTCTGCATCTGTTTCATCATTGCCAATATTTGAACCACCACTTTGATTACCAGCACTGTCATTTTCAACATTAGGATCATATGTAGCTAAAAAGGATATGTATTCTGCATCCATTTCATCACTACCAATGTTTGAACCACCACTTTGATTACCAGCACTTTCATTTTCAACATCAACATCAGGATCATATGTAGCTAAAAAGGATATGTATTCTGCATCTGTTTCATCATTGCCAATGTTTGAACCACCACTATGATCACTAGCACAATCATATTCAATCTCAGAATTATATGTAGCCAAAAAGGACCTATAATCTTCATTCATTTCATCATCATCATTATCATCATCATCATCATCATCATCATCATCATCATCATCATCATCATCATCATCATCATCATCATCATCATCACTAGTATATGTAGCCAAAAATGTTTTCCAATCATCATCTGTTTCACCATCTAACGTATGATCATTTTTATCTATTAAAACATCGGTACTTCCACAAATCTTCAAATCCGTCTTTGAAGCACTAGCGACACGATTGTGCTTCAAACTATCAACCATGGTCTCCCGTCTCCTCCATCGCCTTTCTAACCTTATTCTTTTGTCATCAGGATCCGGACTTTTCAAATTCCCACTCAAATGGGAATCAACCGGGTTAAACTTAACTAAAGCACCCTTCCTTTTCATTAACCAAGAACAAGAACTCACTGTAAACATTAACAAAAAAAAAAAAAAAAAAAGAAACAACCAAATAAAAGCAGTCATTGACAGTACTGATAGAGTATCCTACAAGATATTTGACAAATTGTTTAAATGATAACAGCTATGTTATGAGGAACAAAAGGGCAACAATTTCTACATTGCATGAATAATAATGTACTAAACACTAAACAGAAAGCAAGAGTTATCTAAACAAACCCTAAATTGGGTGTATTTTCCCATTAGGGTTTTCATGATCATGAGAGTAATGTGTGTGGAATAATGTAAGAATAAAAGTAAAGAAAGTGTAGTTACCAGCAATGCGAATAGGAAGAGGTAGGTGAACAAGGGTTGGGTTTGGTTCGGTTGAAATTTAAGTCACAATTCTAAATACAAACTTTTATTCATTATTAATTAGGTAAATTAAAACTAAAAAATTACCATTAATACTTTAAAGCTCAATTTTATTCAAATTTCCATTGCAAAAATGCTCTATTTAATCAAGACTTAGTGTTGTATTTGTCCGAAAGAATAAATCATTCAGCTCTGCACAAAATAAGTGTCGTGTTTTAAAACATAATTTTTCCAAAAGTATGTATCATACTTTTACTTTGTTTTCAATGCAATTTATATTTTATCTTTCAATTTTAACCTTTAATGAATACTTCTAATTTATTATTTCTCATACATTATAAGATAATATTGGGTAGCTTTAAGTTTGACTCTCCTCCTATTAGCCATTAACTTTCATTTTAGCTGAGTGACTGGTGTTAGTTATTATCTTCATCACGTGTTAAGTGTTAAATTGTAATTCATATGTGTCAAAATTAAATTTGATTTTGTTTTAGATTTAAATAGATTTGAATTTAAGTCTAGAATAAATTTGATTAGATTTGATTTAGTAAAAGAATATTTTGGGCTTGGGTTTTAGCTTAGGGAGCAAGCTAACCTAAATCTATAAATAGAGGGAGTAACCCCTATTTTGTAATTAAAAAAAGTCATTCACAATATTTTGCAGTTGCAAAGTGAATAATAAAATTTCCACAGTTTGTGGGCAAAGAGAAACTCTGCAGAAATATCTCTATTGTCTTTTCTTTGTTTGTCTCATAACTAATCATCAGTGGTGGTCGAAATTCATCATAGAGTATTGGTGGATTTCCAACATCTGGTATCAAGAGCTTGTGTTTCGATTCAAGGGAAGTGTCAATCAAGAACGATTGAAGAATTCACGATGACAAGTTATGGGAATGCAAACTATCCAGCAACGCTGCCAATTCTGAAAGTTGACAACTATGAGAATTGGTGCAAACAGATGAAAGTCCTATTAAGGTGTCAAGGCCTTTGGGACCTTGTAAAAGATGGAGTCGAAGCGCTTGGCGAAAACACTTCAGAAGAAGAAAAGAAGAAATATACAGAATCTGAGAAGCAGAGTTATAAAACATTATTTATAATTCATCAATGTGTCAGCCCAGACAATTTCGAAAAGATTAGTGATTCAGAATCTGCAAAAGAATCTTGGGAGATCCTTGAGAAGTCTTTTAGAGGCGCTGAGAAGGTGAAAGAAGTGAGGTTACAAACTCACAAAAGGACCTATGAACTGCTTCAGATGGAAGACAGTGAAAACATATCTGATTTCTTCACTAGAGTTACAAAACTAGTGAATCAAATCAAGGCATGTGGAGAAACATTAACAACAAGAGCTGTTGTTTCGAAGATCTTGAGATCTTTAGCTCCTAAGTTCGACCACATAGTGGTGGCGATCGAAGAGGGGAAAGACTTGTCGAAATTGACAAAGGAAGAACTTCAAGGGACGCTTGAATCTCATGAACAAAGAATGAACGAAAGAGCTACAGGAAAATCGAAGAGTGATGTGGCCTTACAGGCACATTCAGCAAAAGAGACCAAAGGCAAAGGAAAGTATTTCGACAGAAGTAGAGGTGGCTACAACAAATCGAATGGTAGAGGAAACCAAATCGAAGGAGACGTGTCGAATCAAAGAAGACCACACCAAGGCAACCAAAGAGGTGGTGCTGCAAACAGAGGAAGAGGTGGTGGTTGAAAACTTGATAAGAGTCACATTCAATGTTACAATTGTCAGAAATACGGACACTATTCGAGTGATTGTCCAGAAAAACGAAAGAAACAAGAAAGTGATGCAAAGCTTGCAAAACATGAAGAAGAAGAGATGATGTTGATGGTCACAACAAGAGATGAAGATAGATTCAAGGACCAATGGTACTTGGATTCAGGATGTTCATCACATATGTCTGGAAGGAAAGACTGGTTTGTCAATATAAAGCCCTCAAAGAAAAATATGGTAAAATTTGCAAATGACAACACCCTAGCAGCTGAAGGTATTGGTGATGTTATGATCATGAGGAAAGATGGCAAGAAGTCAGTAATTTCGAATGTATTGTACATACCAGGCATGAAGAGCAATTTGCTCAGTATATGGCAGTTGGTCGAAAAGAATTATAAAGTGTCAATCGAAGATAAGTTGATGAGAGTCGTTGATGCAAATGGGAGAGTAATCTTGAAGGCTCCTATGTCTCAGAATCGAACCTTCAAGATTGAACTAAATGTGATGGAGCACAAGTGCCTTTCGACTGCAACTAGCAGAGATGAATGGATATGGCATTATAGACTAGGTCATCTCAACTTCAGAGACATCAGAGATTTGAAGAGAAGAAATATGGTTTCAGGATTGCCAGAAATTGACATTCCAAACGAGGTATGTGAGGAATGTGTGCAGGCGAAGCAACACAAGAATAGCTTCAGCAAGGATGCAGGAAGCAGATCGAAGGCTAGTCTTGAAGTCATATACTCTGATGTATGTGGACCAATCCAGGTGGATTCGATGGGAGGTAACAAATACTTTGTTACATTCATAGATGATTTCAGTCGAAAGCTATGGACTTACCTGATCAAGAAGAAAAGTGAAGTGATCGAAGTATTTACCAGCTTTAAGTCTATGGTCGAAAGACAAAGTGGTCGAAAGCTCAAAGTTTTGAGAACTGATGGTGGTGGAGAATATGTGTCGAAAGACTTCGACAGATTATGTGAAAAGGAAGGGATTGTGCATGAGGTGGTGCCACCCTATACTCCACAGCAAAATGGAATTGCAGAAAGGAAAAATCGAATCATCATGAATATGGTGAGAAGTATGTTGAAAGGAAAGAATTTACCTAAAGAGTTATGGGGTGAAGCTGTTTCGACTGCAACTTATATTTTGAATAGATGTCCTACAAAGAAGCTAGAAGAAATTACTCCAGAAGAATGTTGGTCTGGTGTGAAGCCTAGATTAAGTCATCTGAAGGTATTTGGATCTATTGCACATAGACATGTGCCAGTTCAGTTGAGAAGAAAACTTGATGACAAGTCAAGTCAAATGATCCTAGTTGGATATCATTCGACAGGAGGCTACAAGTTGTTCGATCCAGAGAACAAGAAGATTGTGATCAGCAGGGACGTGATCATAGATGAGTTTAAAGAATGGGATTGGACTGCAAATGTCAAGAAAGATTCAGTGGGAATATTATTCGAAGAGCCAGAAACTCAAGTCGAAAGAGAAGTTCGACAAGAGGAACCAGCAGATATACCAAGTACAAGCAGACCTCAAAGAACAAGACGCATGCCTGCAAGATTGCAAGATTGTGTGATTACATCAGATGCTGTAATAGATAATGAAGGTGAGCTGGTACATTATGCTTTCTATGCATATGTCGAACCTGTTAATGCAGCTGAAGCATTAAAGGATTCGAAGTGGGTGAAAGAAATGAACGAAGAAGTAAAGTCTATCGAAGACAACAACACTTGGTCACTTGTCGAATTGCCTCAAGGCAAGAAGGTAATTGATGTCAATTGGATATACAAAGTGAAGACGAATTCGAAAGGTGAAGTAACTCGACACAAAGCAAGACTTGTGGCGAAAGGATTTCTACAAAAAGAAGGAATAGACTTCGACGAAGTTTTTGCACCTGTTGCTAGGATCGGAACAATCAGGTTGGTTGTTGGTCTAGCAGAAATCAACAGTTGGCACATATGTCAGATGGACGTGAAGTGTGCATTCCTAAATGGACCCTTAGATGAAGAAGTCTATGTTAAACAACCAGTTGGGTTTGTGAAACATGACGAAGAAAGAAAGGTGTACAGGCTACATAAAGCCCTGTATGGATTGAAACAAGCTCCAAGGGCTTGGAATAAGAAAATTGATAGTTTTCTAAGGGAGAAGGAATTTGTGAAGTGCATAACTGAACATGGAGTATATGTAAGAAGAAGCAAAAGTAAATTGCTTATACTATGTCTCTATGTAGATGATTTGTTGATAACAGGTAGCTGCAAGAGTGAGATCGAAGACTTCAAAGGTGATCTCAGCAAGGAATTCAAAATGTCTGATTTGGGTGAGATTTCATATTTCCTTGGTATCGAATTCTACAAGAGCAGTAGAAGTTTGATGATGCATCAAAGAAGACATGCAGGAGAAATTCTCAAGAGGTTTGAGATGGAAGAATGCAACTCAACTTCGACACCTGCAGAACCAAGACTGCAACTGTCGAAAGATGCAGATGAAGATGATGTTGATCCAACCCAATACAGAAGACTTATTGGATCATTGAGATACCTTTGTCATACAAGGCCTGACTTAGCATACATTGTAGGTATGGTAAGTAGATTCATGCAGAAGCCAAAGGTATCACATCTAGCAGCAGTGAAGAGGATACTAAGGTATCTCAAAGGAACTTTCGATTATGGCATTTTGTTTCCTGCAGTTGATAAAGGAAAAGAATGCAAGTTAGTGGGATACACTGATTCGAGTTGGTGTAGTGATGCTGAAGATCGAAAGTCAACAGCAGGATATGTGTTTATGCTAGGTGGTGCACCAATTGCTTGGAATTCAAGAAAGGAACTAATAGTGGCATTATCATCATGTGAAGCAGAATACATAGCTGCTTCTCTTTGTGCATGTCAAGCAACTTGGATGATGAGCTTGGTCGAAGAGATAACAGGGAAAAATCATGGAGCAATTACCATGAAGATAGACAACATGTCAGCTATTAATCTGGCGAAGAACCCAATAGCACATGGTCGAAGTAAGCACATCGAAATGAGGTTCCATTATCTTCGAGAGCAGGTAGCAGATGTGAAGATGAATTTGGAACACTGCCGAACTGAGAATCAGATTGCAGACATCATGACGAAGGGAGTGCAAGTCGAAGTATTCAGAAAGCTAAGGGCCATGATGAACATAGAAAGTTTAGACAAAATGAATTAGGTGGTGTGTTAAATTGTAATTCATATGTGTCAAAATTAGATTTGATTTTGTTTTAGATTTAAATAGATTTGAATTTAAGTCTAGAA